AACGTCCCGTGCCAGCAGTACCAGTGCTGGTGGTACGATAAGCTGTGCTACATGAGACGATGGTTGCTTCAAAATTCAGAACAGCCCCGAGTAAGTTTTTCAGAGTTATTTCTTAATGACCATTTTAAATGCCGAGAACCGGATATTCCCTCGACGGAGAGATGAACAAGGCAATAAAATGCGTTGATTGCACGAAAACAATGGACAGGAAAAAGAACATGGTTTGTTACTGAGGAAGAACCACTCAGTGCGGTCTGGCAAATACTGAGTATAACTTAAAAGTGCATAGGCTGACTGAATTCTAACCAACCTTCAGATGATCATGATTTTGGTAAATTTCCAAAAACTCTTTCGACCAATTTCACCACGAAACACTTGATCTTGTCTCATGTTGAGATACATGCATCACAAGCTAGCAAAAGAAATCTCTATCCCGACTCTGAACCTCTTGTTCCCTTCACCATCCCAAAAAGTATCTGTAGAAGCAGAAAACCGTGCTGCTGGTTTACATAAATGCGTACCATCCACCTATTGACATATTTACCTACCGAGCCTACTTCCAATATTGTGCATGTGCCCTCTCTTATCTTACGATGATAAGTATGGAAAAGGTGTTTTTTGATCTATGACTTCGGCAATGGTTGGCCGAGTGACGTAGTTAGGACGACATTTTTTTCTACAGACTTCACGGACCCATCTAAATTATGATGGAATTGGCATTCAACAAAAACAACTCTTTTTTACTCTCCGTCATGTCCAATGTAAATATGGATAGAAGACATCTAAAAAACGCTGAGGTTATACGATGATGATGATGTATAGACCCTCATCGTGTGTGTACAAATGGCAAGTTGAAGATGTATCGTCTGAAAAACCGACAAGGAACAGCTCAAAAAGTTTATGTCTTTGAACAAGACGGATAGTATCAGTTTATACGACACATTCACAACATTATATATTCATGGACATTCATGAGCAATATTTGCACGCTTTTTAGGAAATCATAATGCTTCCAAGCTTTTTAAAACCAGTGAGAAAAAAAAATACAGGCAAACTTATCTACTTATCGTTATAGGTTTCTAAGCTATAACGACGGAACGTGTTAATTTATCTATCAACCATTTTTTGATCATGCCTTTCGTTCGGAAATGCCAACAACGCGTGCTCTGTGAGACTTTGGAATGTCTCAAAATTCTTGTTTTCAAATCAAACATGCACCGAAACGTCGTTTTTCTTTTTTTCCAGGTTGAATCGGGAGCAATAATGGGGACACTCAATATTTATTTTTATCTTGGACCCTTTTATTTCCTAACAGTAGCAGACACGGAAGAATGACACATACGTATGTTGTAACTAAACATAAATATAAACCTGTAAGCGGATCTTGTTTGTCCTTTCACTCCATCTTTTCGAAAAGATTTATGAGAAATGCGCTGGTTCCCTGGTGCAGTATTGTCCCCGTAATACTGCTTTCTTGTCTAAATTTATATATAACACAAGGGGAAATTCAAGTCTACCTCTAAGTCTCCAGTTGCTATAAAACCGTGTGTTCATAGAGTGGATTTTCTACAAATGCGTTTTACTAGTGCAATCTGGTGATACTGCCATCCACCTCGGCTCACTTGTTACGTACAGATGTACGTAACATCGTATAAATGTACGTACGTAGTATGTACGTATTGTTTGTCTTTCTCGGGTTTGTTGGAGATTCAAATGTGAGACGCATTACCTTGTCAAGTGGACAAGCTCGTCTCCTCCCTAAGAAATCTTTCGAGTTTCATGAGTCACGACCACATTTGGGGACACCTTATCCCTCATAGTCACCGAGATAATATGTACACGAGAAAAATGGGCCATCTGACAAGGCAACTAACTGCTACGTTCATCCTCTAAGGATAAATCATAGTATATGAACGTAGCCGTTCGTGATGCGGGATTGCATATCCCCAACATCTTCATTCGGCCTGAATCCCAAGTAAATTTAAGCATGGGAACAATGAGCACCATCTTCTCTCTCTTAAATCACGACTAAACATGGAGTATCCTCTCCTTGACAGGAACATGGTCAAATCAAACTGAACATTAAACCTACGTAGATGCAGAAAATATAAAAGAGACTGCCGAACGGGGCACGGAGCTTGAACTTTTCCATCTTTACATCCGTCTCGCTGTCATAACTTGGGATGACAACCCTTTGATCATGTAAAGCACTTTTTCATCTCAGGAGAGGAACAGCGACTCCCAATTTGCTTCGAGCAGAACGGATTGAGCTTTGAAGAACTGTTCAATTCTTGAGAAAGCGAGAAATGAAAAGAATGATCGGCAATTTATCCGACTTGTTTTTTAGCTTTTCTTACTTTTAGTTCCAAGTATTCTCAGAAAATATAGGGACGGCATGCTTACGTACGTACCTTCTGCCTAATTAGATGAGACAGGACAAATCTAAAGTTTAAAAGGTCACATGCAATGTAGAATTATTTCGTCTGAATAAAAAAAATACGACAAAATGTTTCGTATTTGCCTCCCAGTGACTCCGCAGAAATGGATGGTGTTGTTTTCCTTGCCAAATTAAATTATTGATATCCTACGGATACCCTGTTTCCTTCCTCATGCGAATGAGGAGGAAATTCGCAAACTAAATGTAAAAAAGGTAACCAAAGGCAAAGGAAGGATCGGAATTGTGTAACAACTGGTGCAGACAGAAAGACAAAACTTTCAACGACTTTCTCCACATCGGAAGAAGAAAATTCCAAATTCCTGCCTGCAGCCTCCTGATAAGAAACTATATACTAACAGAGGCAGAACACCGTATGATTTCTGTTTGGTAGGAGAAAGTGTTGCGATTCAGCCCACTTTCTATTTTCCTCATCCGGAGCGGAGAAATTCAGAAAGAGATAGTTCACCACCCTTGTTCAAATATGTGTAAGCTAAGCCTGATAACATATGGAATTGTCTGCATACATACATAACTATGAAGGATGAGATACCACCACTGCGTACGTCCATATGAATGCAGACACGGGGGTGGGCAAAATGATTCCGCGTACTATTGGAGGATGCAACTTATTCTTCCCATCTCACGGGTGAAACAATGCACACTTTGTGTTGGCAAAACAGGCAGATATCTTACAAAGAGGAGGCCGTAACTTAATCAGCGTATTCTAAATCTTACAACCGCACCACGTCTTTGGTAAGAAACTTGTAATCATAACTAAAGCACATGTATAGATACTTGAGATCGTGCTCCAATTTGCAAAACTAATCTTGCCATAACGCCACCAGGATTGTGCTCGGTAGCGATTTCACAATCATTCTAAACATATCTCAACTGGATATTTCGTATTGTGTAGTTCAAGTTAAAAATAATTAATAAATGGGATTTTTCCACTTGGTCATTAAGCTCTTCTAGTTGAGCAGCTTCAGTGAAAAGGATGCAATCAAGGAAATTTGCAAAATCCGAAATGAATTATGTAAAAGTAACGAGGGATCATTTTAGCCCAAGTGAACCGAGACCTTGATCCTTTCCGACGTTAGGATGCCCATTCGAAATAATTCGAATACGAGGTGAGAGAGCTGAGCGTTGGTTGTCTCTGCTAAATAAATATACAGACTTATGTATGTGCATATATTGTGCACTACACCGACCAGCTATGCCTTCAGTTTTAGGGATGTAGATGAAACATGAAGACTTCCGTTTGACATTCGGGATATGTTTTGGAAAGTCGTTTTCATGATAAATCTGCTAAGCATCGATAACTCATCCAGTTTCCTCGTTTATGATTCCGAATTACGGCAGGATGAGGAGAGCAAAGCAACACTACACCAGACTAACACCATTACATGCGACGAACTATTTATTCACGGGAATAATGGATCAAACATCCAGGCGTGTCTGCATTTGTACGAACAATTTGGTGATTATAAGACTAGTTCCACTTACATTTCCGTCATTTCTTACACTCTTACACAGTTACAATTGGTGAGCACACAATTTTCTGAACAACTGTGTCCTCCCACAAAATTTCCTATAGCTTGCCGCACACGATATGTTGATGCTACTTGATTCTAAAATGTCTCAAAGTTAAACATCCCATCTCCGGTTGGATGGTTTATAACGTGAAATTTAATACTGATGGAACACGGTTTCTTCTTGCGTCACGCATTCATACAGCACTTGGTTCACGACGAGGAGGACGTTTCGTTCCTGGTGGACAGGATGCTTGCCTTATCAAAGTCGATTAATGGGCAGTCTAAGAGAGGTCGTGCACTTGGGATAGTCAATAATCCATCATAAAACCTTCAGCAGAATTGTTAATTTAATGAAACTGACTCCATGCATTTGACATTGGGAGGGAAATTCATGGACTTGTTTCAGCCCGTTGCTTTCATAAACAGCCATAAAACTGAATATATGAAGTTGTTATGTATCAGCAATATACGACTACACGACGACTTACACGGAGGAAAAGAAACTTTGAAAATGTGAGCAAGTATCCAAACAGTTTATAAAGAATCCAGCTGTCAAGTATGCTCAAATACTTTCACCAAACAATCCCCATTTTACACTACTCACTTTCTCCCCAAGAAAGTGCTCCACGAGTGGTGGCTGGCTTCTGGTGGCTCCTTTCCTCTCTTATTAGTCCTGCACCACAGCCTACACCACGAGAGAGTCAAATGGAGCACAAGTGCGAACAAGGCCAAACTAATTGAAAGTAACTGTTTCATGTGAAACTACTCTCTCCACTGTGGACGTAACAAGGCTGGAATGAAAAGCCATGCTCGAAATGCCATAGCAGATGCATGAATGAACGTCGTTTTACATATATCTATATGCGATTAGATAAGGACTTTTGTCGCGTGTGGAATGAAACCTGCGTATCTGAGATGAGATACAGAGTTTTTGGGGCAAAGTCAGATGCATATATAATAAGTATCTGTATATTTTCTATTTTTGCTCAATAATGTCCGGTTGAAAATGGAAGTGGAATGGGGTTAAGTACCTGCTTGTTGGCTCCCCTGGCGTACAATTCCTCTTCGACCTGGAGATTGGGTGGACGGCTTCCCTTTCGTCGTGCAGCCGGCTCGTGTGGAGGTTGTCGAATCTGCTGAGCCTGGGCAAAGGGGTGGTTGGAATGTGAGAGTGAGTGGGAGGAGGAATGGCCGCCGTAGAAATGAGAGCCTGACTGACTGGCCCCACTCGGCCCGGAGGGCGCCTCTGGGTCACGCTTCCCAGCAAAGATGAGATGGGTCCTGTACCCACGATGGTCGCCGTCCGCATCTGTGGTGAATATTTAATGACACAATTTTGTAGAAGGCTAAAGAAGAAGGATTGGAGTTACATGACAAGCATGCAGTCATGTTGTTAGGTAAATAAGGAAGGATGCAATTTCTCAACTTGTTTGTAATTGGGAGGTGATATTACGTGTACTACCTACGACTGCACCACCACCATTGCTTTCTCCTTTACTTTTCCACTTATTGAACATCATCATTCTGACCGGCTTTCGCTACTAACCAGGCCGACTCACAAAACAAATATCACTTTACACGTGAAGGACAATGACAATTTTACCACTACTCGAGCATCGCAAGTAGTCTGACACCATGTCGCTTATCATCATCATCATCCCCCCTCTGGAACAACGCGTCTCATTGTTTTTCTCAATTTCTTTTCCCATCCCTCATTTCCTCATGCTCCTTTGTGAAGGGTGTGTACATATGTAGAAAAGTAGTAGTGGCTTAGCCTTGTGAGTTTCGCAATCAAGGTGGATTAAACATAATTATAACTTTCCGCCTCACTTTGAAGTGTCATTATTTTCTTTGTTGTTACAAACAAATCCTATTATGCGTCGTGTTGCGACATAAATTTACACGTGTACAAATTATTATTTTTTAAATAACAGCGTGAAACAAAGCGTAGTCATTGCGGTGAATGTTGCTGAGCTGGTGGTGACTTTGTGTAAGTTCGCAGCCTGGAGAAAGTGGTGGTGGTGGTGGCTTCACAGTTGATCTGCGGGGTATTTCGGTCCCCCTTGACACGGATTGTAACCTCATTCTCGTCACAATGAGGTGTGTATACATCTTTGTTCACTTTGAGCAAGTTGTAGGTTGATTGGGTACAACACGGTACCAAATTAATAAAGTCTTAATTAATCAAAGTTTCACCTCCTCATGTTAACGAGATTATTTGTATTTACATCCTCCGTGAAAATGTGAGCTAACGAGGAGCGACCCGGTGCTGAGCTCAGGTTGATAATGAGCAAAAATGGTTTTCTTATTGAGCAAGTTTTCGTAGGTGTTGGAAAGTTGACTTGGACATTGTTAATGATGATCACCGCCTGTTTCCTGTAGCATTTTCTCGCGTACAGAACAACACTCGGCGACGGAACAACGTGTGTCCATTCTGATAAAATTCGCAGTCTAGTTAGTGACAACGAACGACTCGAAACAAACTAAACTTCAATACAGTAGAGAAACTGTGCTCTTTTCTTATGCTTTTTGAGACGGGTAAGAAGAACCACGGCCTCGTGTCGTCATAAGATCAGATCAGTATCACGACGAGTCGGATAACAACATAACACTAACCGACCGACCCACCAGAGAAGAAGAAGAAGAAGCCGTAGTCAGGGAACAAGAACCATCCTACTATTTTACTCTCAGACTTACGACAACGACGATACGATGCGATACTACGACTGCTACTACATAGAGATACTACTACACCGATGGAGTGAAACACGAGGTAGCCCCGAGTAGTCGTGGAGGAAAGTGTAGCAAAAGAGGAACGGTTCCAAAATTTCTCTTAGGATTCTGAACAGAAATAGCCTGGGACATCCCAACACTACCATTTATTTGAAGTCATACGAAACGGGTGACGACGGTAAGTGCAGCGTGCACCAGAAGCAACCTCGCGTCCGTTGTGTCTAGATGCTGCTTGCTGTTTGCTACTGCTCCCTCAGTCTCAGACTGGTCCGACGACGATGATGTGGGATTGCGATCCGTCTTTTGCTATGTACGTAGAATTACAACACGGATAAAAGAATAAGCACAGTTCTGGATCAAGTAATGACAATAACCCAGAAAAGTATAGATATCTACGTACATATTTTGAAGAAGGGAAACCTGAACCTAAATTATAGGGTAATTGTCGTGATGTGAAATGGGCGATTTGTAATGTAAGTAACATCAATTTGCGCCCACACATAATTGAACTGGTGCAATGGACCTCTAATTGTTTTATAAAAATGGTCGCCAGCTGCGGATCTTTAGCAAAGTGATTAAATCCCTTGGCACTAATTAGAATCCCAACTCAAAGGCGGGTACGAAATTTGGTAAAAGATTAGCAGAAATCCCAGACGAAAAAGAAATTTGGAATGCAGCAGAGCTGGCCGACTGATCGAGGTTGGTTGAGAATGAGATGAGATTACGAATCCAATTGCATGTAAAAGGTTGATGATAAATGACAAAAGAGTGCTTATTAGTCACTCCACTGTAGCAACTTACCCTTGTTGGATGGATACAATGCAGTTGCCCAGCTCATCTCTACGGAATCATACCTTCTTGACACTCCCGGTAGTGAGGATCCTTCTTGTTTTTGTATTCTCATTTCACAACGTAATTGGAGTGGAATGGAATTCCGAACAAGCTTCCAATCATGTTCGGTGTCACTTTCAATTACTCCCAAGCACCAAAATTAGACTCCCTAGCATTACAAAGACTCAATGACCTACTCCTCTCTGCCGCCAATCTATTTACAGAGCCAAAAGTATGTCCAACAACAGTGCCATTGAATTAAAATACACCACATCCATACGGACTTGATGACATGACACCCACCACTGCACCACATTAACAACAATCTAAGCCAACTCTTCTTTTTTATCCTCTATTTTTATTTTAATGAATCGTATCGTATTAACTTTGGGCGTAATGTCAGCATAAGTAAACTTGTCTTTTACCACCGCATTTGTCTCCTGCTAAGTTGACTCTGCGGGTGCAAAATTCTGGCTTCCACACACACACCACACATACGTTCCTCATTACACGGAATAGGTTTCACCATGGTTTTACCCGACTTTTACTCGTACGTATTATTACATAATGTGCCATAACTCTCAACCCATCTATTCATCCTGTTCACCATTTGAATTAAAGGTCAACACATCCCCCTCGGATGGATTTAAATTCATAAACTACTCAACCATTACGTACGTATTACATGTCGCACAACATGTATGAAAAGTTTGCATACACAGTATGAAATGGTTCACAATGTAAAGTTCCAAAATACGCTATCACATAATGCACCTCCATTATTTGAATTTTTATCCTGTGCACAAAACTGTCGCAAACTTTTAGATGAAAGTAATTGGCAGTTTACATGCCCCGGTAAACTCGGTAAACTCTCACTGTATGTAAATATATCTCACTGTACTACGACGTGTGTGTGTGTGTGCATGTATTCCATGACAAGTCATCGTTCCCATTCCACACGATGGGCTGTGATTTGTTGTAAAGTTGCACAAATGCCGCTGGTGACATGCACTATAATTTGAGAAGGTGCAATGTAAACGTTAAATTATGCACGGTTATGCAACTCCATCACGTCAATGGTGGAAGGAAAGCGAGAGAAATGCATGTTGATTGCGGACATGAAGTACAAAAGTAAATGTGATTGTAACTGTTGTGACGGAACTGTACTCACTGGTTCCAACAGCCCAGAGAGGAAAATCGAAAAATGGTTGTGGCATGTGGAAGAAAATTATGCATGAAATGATATCCTAATTCATACAAGGTTGCTTATGTGGATTTTACTTTTTGCTACCCAGGAAATCAATATTGTCCCCCCTGTCAACCAGGCTATGGCTCAGTTGCCCTTGCTTATTAACTGCACCGACCACGGAGAAAGCACGGACGGCCAAGAGTTGACTTTCTCCAGCACAAAAAATATTTGAACAAACTCCCAATTTCTTCTACCTTACTTTCTTTCTTCTTTCCTCTCATGCATGTAAGAAAAAAGAGGGGAAGCGATTTGGAAATAGGGTCGCCCGAGTATGTAGATTATCGTCATCGTGGTTGAACTTGAACAAATTTAAAACAAACTCTAACCAGTCTGTCAACTAGCCCATAATGAAATTATCCATTGCCAGGCAAACCCCAAACTGGTCGGACCAATCCATCCATAAAATATTATGCAGTGTTAATTTATAGCGGAGAAATCGATAATTTTTGATTGTCTGTTTAATTGTCATTTTGTCCCAAGTCGTGTACCACTGACTGACTGACATATTTAACAAGTGTGTAGTTTTTTTTTCTTTAAAACACTATAAAATGTTCAGCACATTGAAAGTTTACACGAAGTGGTACAAACTACGACAAGGCTGTTACCCATGGTACGTATGAATCATTTACATGGAAAAATCGACACACATTTATATTTATTTTTAGGTTGGCACTTTTTCCGTTGTTGATGGTGCATGACAAGGCTTTTGCCAAATCTTGGTCTGCGTAAGAAAATGCGTGTTCTGTTTGTAACCAACTTTGTTTGTCCCGTCGTCGTGGCCGGTTTTGTGGTCGTTAGTAATCTTTAATCCCGATCTTAGTTGTAATCCCTCAGCTTGACGCACCTTGGACTGTGTGTGATGCGCTGGGCACATAAATCATCCGACACAGGGACAAAAGACCAGGAAAGAAATTTATTTCAAGCCAACTTTCCTTTTTTATGGTGAGGTTGACGACTTTGCACTGTTCTCTCTCTCTCGTGAAGACTACTGGTTTAGCTTTTGGGACAAACTTAGTTTTTGTTCTGTAATGAGCATAATCTTGCAACGGCTTCGGCCCAGTTTGTGCGTGCAATTGTTATAAGTAAGTGCATAAATAAGGTGAATTCATTATTTGGGTCTCTCTCAACTTCAATTATATTCCAAGTTTGTCTAGATTTCCAGCTAAAGTTTACGTAAATAAATTTGACCGGTTTAATTAGAAACAATCCGAATTCTTTTCTACACATATTAAACAATACAAATAAACGGAATTATTTTCTTGGAATTTTTATTGTTGGAATTTCTAAAAGTGATAATAAAAAGAGAGAACTTTAGGAATACAGTTGTAATTAAATTTGAGGAATGTTCATTACTCGCTTTTATGGAAGGTCATAATAACATAAAACCCTTTATGCATATTTCATGATCCAATATATCGGTTAAATTTGATTTTCTCCTGTGCTTATAAGAAATGGATCCAATGTAAATCGAGAAGGAGCAAGTTTTTATGAGAACATATAAATACATCCGAAAACATCATCAAACTATGAACCGTAACAAAAGGTTGAGAAGTCAATTCAACTTGATCGTCGCTGATGTTGCCACGTGTAAAATTACTGATATATGCTTTTTGATATCTTTTTACATATTAATGAATTATTTCCAAGGTTGTATTATTTTCTTGATGACGGCAATACTTAAATTTTCAAAGTTTCAAGTAAATAAGAAAGTTTTCATAATTGTCACCCATTTCTTTCGCTAACATGTCCCCTGGTTTTTTGTGTTTCCATGAAATATGCCACACTCATACTCTGAATTCCATTAAAAATGCAATTAGATCTCAAATCTAAAATCAAGATTCATTCCTTTTAAATTAGTCTTTCTCTCGAAAGCAGTGTGAACGTGCAGAATGGTACGTCAAGTAAATGGACATTAATTGGAAGTATCAACTCGAACCAACAAAATCAATATTTTCATACAAAATATTGCAAAGGGTATTTTCACCCTGTAGTAATAATAGAGGAGTGAGTGAAAAGAATGCTACATTATTATTATATTTTTCCCATTGTGGTATATCCCATCCACCGGTTGTAAACTCGTGTATTGTGACCAAGGACTTCTAGGAATTGTTCGCACATACCTAGCGTAGCAAATCCTTCGTATGTGCGAAATCCTTTGAATTGAAAACCTCATCAACTTTTAAATTTCCAAAAGAATTTCTGAGAATTTTGGAATGCAAAGACTTCATTCAGTCCCAGTCGTAAAAATCGACAAAGAAAGTATATGATAGAATGTGTACCAAGTATGAAACGAAGTTGTTCAAATATTGTCCTCTTTGGTGAAAGCACTTTTTAGTTTGTTTAGATTGCAGAAAATACTTATTTCAAGTTTCTCACGGCAAATGAGACAGGCGGAGAGAGAGACACTTGGCATCTTTTCTTTGCCGTTAGCATCTTACTAGCACTAGCATCTAGCACTAGCATCTTACTAGTTAGCACTAAAGACGAAGGGATTTAAAGGTTCCTATTTTATAGCTAACTTCCTATGAACTTTCTCCTGTACATTATTTTATGATGATAAAATGTTAATACGACTGGAGCACTCTTCTCCTGTCCTCTTATCCTTCCTCTCGTGGCGAATTGCTTTTAGTTTAATGAGTAGTTAAGTTTGGAGCTCGGTTTTATGGAAAATAATGAACAAGCACTCCTTTCCTGGTGGCTGCCACCCATAGATTGGCTTCAATAGAGTGACAAATCCCAATTGCTGATGTGGTTTCAGCACTCCTTCCTTCGACGGATGAAACTTGGTAAGCATCACAATTTCAGTCACACCACAAGTTGTGGGACTAAACACTTTGTGGAATTTGGAGTAAATATG